GGCCAGGCCCAGCAGGCTAAGGATCTTGGTGAATCTGACTATGCGCAGGGCCCGTGCTGTTTTGTAGACCTCCGCATCTAGCCGTGGCTCCAACTCCACCACTAGGAAGATGTAATCCACAGGAATGGAGGAGATGAGGTCAACCAGGAACCAGGTGCGTAGGTAACGGGTACGGATGGCCCTTGGCGCCAGCAGGATCTCAGCACCTTCCTCCACCACGATGCCAGTTCGGAAGTTGAGCACCAGATCCAGCAGGAAGAAAGTGTCAGAGAGGACATTGAAGACGATCCAGGGTGGGGAGTTCTCTTCCTTGAAGAAAGTGATGCCCACAGGCAATACTATGAGGTTCCCCACCATCAGCAGCAGCATGATCAGGTCCCAGTAAAACCTAAAGTAGGTACGGGATGGAGAGCAAGATCCTATCATACTCCGTCAGCAGCTACATTAACAGATCGTCTGATACAGCTAAGAGTGTCAAGAGCGGCTGGAGAGATGGCTCCGTGGCTAAGAGCACTGGCTGCTCTTCCAGAGGACCTGAGTTCAATTTCCAGCACCCACATGGTGGCTCACAACCATCCGAACGTAATGAGATCTGGTGTCGTCTTCTGATGCGCAGACATACATGCAGGCAGAATACTGTGTACATAATAAATAAATAAATAAATAAATAAATAAATCTTAGAATACAAAATCACAAAATGGTCACTTAAATCCACTAAGAGTGGAAACTGGAATCACCATTTAGGGGGGAAAAAGCATTATTTAAAAGAGTTAGATATTTGTACTCCGAGCAACTCTGTTCCCTTGTGTGTAAACACCCAACGGGAACATGCTGTCAAGGAAATACAACCAGTAATGTCTATAGCAAGATTAAATTGGGAACAACTCAAACATCTACCAGCAGAAAGTGGAGTGAGCTGGAGAAATAGTTCAGCAGTTAAGAGCACCGGTTGCTCTTGTTGAGGCCCCGAGTTCAATTCCCAGCAACCACATGGCAGCTCACAACCATCTGTAACTCCAGTTCTAGGAGATCCGATACCCTCTTCCAGCTCTAAGGGCACCAGGGAAACAGAGGGTACACAGACATACATACAGTGAAACAAACACAGATAGATAAAATAAATAAAAATTAAAAAATAATCCATGTAGGTAAATAAGGCATCATACAGAGGTAATGTGTCCACTGTCTGGAATGCAGCACAGCTGGGTTTCACATTTGAAAAAGAAAAAGAAAACGAGGGATTTATCTTTGTTTTGTGTGTGGTTGTTTTGCCCTCACACATGTAAGTACACTGTGAGCTCACAGGGGCCAGAAGACAGCATCAGATCCCTGGGAACTGCAGTTAACACAAAGCTGTGAGCCACCATGTGGGGCTGGGAACCAAACCCAAACCCTCTACAAGGGTAGGCAGTACTTTTTAAAAAGATAATTTTTTTTCTTGAAAAGGGATTTTTTTTTTTTGTACAACATATTCTGATCATGGGTTCCCCTTCCTCAACTCCTCCCAGTTGCTCCTCTCCTCCCCACCCACCCAAATCAATACCTTTCTTTCTCTCTCTCATTAGAAAACAACTAAAAAAATCAGAACAGGACAAAACAAACAAGCAGGGAAAAAAATGCCAAAGAAAAAGCACAAGAAATACATACACACATGTGAAACACACTCACACACCAAAATCCAGTTTAAAACAAAATAAAACAAACGGAAACCATACGATATAAGCAAAAGACCTGTAAGGTTAAAAAGAATGCCGGGACAAAGCATTATGAGATAAACCCCTCAAAAAATACCATTGAATTGTTTTTGTGTTGTTTATCTACTGCTCTTAAGGGTTGTAAACCCAGTAAGACACCATTGGAGAACATGCTTCCTTTTTGAGAGAGTGTTAAGTGGAGATGGCTTCTGGGTTAGGGCTGGGTGCTTATGTCCACTTCCCCTATCAATTCTGGGACCCATCTGGCTTAGACCTGTGTAGGCCTCATGCATGCTGCCAGTCTTGGTGAGTTCATATGTAAGTAAGCCCTGCAGGATCTAGAAGGCCTTGTTCCTTGGTGTCTTCCATCCCCACTGGCTCTTACACTCTTTCAACCTCCTCTTTTGCATAGTTCCCCGAGTCCTAAGGGAAGGGATTTGAGGGAGACATCCCATTTAGGACTGAGTATTTCGAGGACTCTCACTTTCTACACACTATCCAGTTGTGGTTCTGAGCCTGTTCCCGTAGACTACAGGAGAAAGCTTTTCTGATGATGGCTGATCAAGATAATGATTGATGAATGCAGTAGTTTGAATAAGAAGGGCTCCCATAAGTTCATGTATTTGAATGCTTCATTACAGGGAGTAGAACTGCTTGAAAGGATTGGAAAGGTTAGGGGGTGTGGCTTTGTTGCAGTAGGTGTGGCCTTGTTGGAGGAAGTGTGTCACTAGAGGCCGGCTTTGAGGTCTCAAAAGCCCATGGCAGGCACTGCTTCTTCTCTTTTTGTGTCTCAGCCTGTGAATCAGGATGTAGCTCTCAGCTACTGCTCCAACATGGCATTCACTGCTGTGATGATAATGGTCTAAGCCTCTGAAACTGTAAGCAAGCCTCCAATTAAATATTTCTTTTATAAGAGTTTCCACAGGGGTCTGAGAGATAGCTCAGTGGCTAAGAGCAGTGGCTGCTCTTCCAGCACCCACATGGCAGCTCACACCTGTCTGTAACTCCAGTTCCAGGGGATTCCGGTATCCTTACATCAATGCACATAAAATAAAGTTAAATAAAGTATTAAAAAAAAAGAGTTTCCTTGGTCATGGTGTCTCTTCACAGCAATACAACAGTAACTAAGAGAATGAGTATAACTGGGTGTTGTTAAGAATCACTTTATTACTATGTTCCTTTATCAAAATGATAGTATTTGGTTTTCCCATAGGTTCACAGCCTATATAGTCTCAGGTTCTTAGCCATCCAAGCAATGTCTGTCAGGCATGGGTTCCATCTTGTGGTTGGTTAGTCTACAACTTTTGTGCTACCATTACACCAGCATATCATACAGGTAGGCCACCATTGTAGAACAAAGGATTTGTAGCTGGGACAGTGTTTACCTTTCTCATTTGGTGACATGCAAGAGTACTTTTCAGTACCATGATCGCTAGTCAGGGGCCAGAGCTCTTAACCACTGAGCCATCTCTCCAGCCCTTGAATGTCTCTTTTTTGAAATTGAGCAAAAGAAGCAAGAGATATAGGGTACAAATTAGATGATTCCAAAACAGACAAAACTAAACTAGTGTATGTTTGTTTGGGAGTCAGAGAAAAGTGGTGAAACTATTTTTTTAAGCCTGTCTATTTTACTTTTAAGGTTTTTTTTGTTTTGTTTTGTTTTTTTAGTGTGTATGTGTGCATGACACAGGGTACATGTGGAGGTCGGAGGACAGGTTTGTGAGTCCCATTCTCAACTTTGGGGGTTGAATTCAGTGACCAGGTCTGCGCAGCAAGCAACTTTACTGCTCTCTGTCTTACCGCCTTTCTATTTTACGGTGTGATTATTTCTATTGTTTAATACTATTTTCTTTATAAGTTAGAATCAAGAGACAAAAACAGTGGTCCAAATGACCATGTAGGCAGATTATGAAAATCCCCATAGCTCCCAAATAGAGAAAGAGGGAAAAGAACACAACGAGAAAGGTCACATATAAAGTTCACATATGAAGGTCAGAGGACAACAAGACATTAGCTCTCCCATTCCACAATGCAGGTCCCTGGAACTGAACTTAGGTTATCAGAGTTATTGGCAGGTGCTGTACCACAAAAATTAGAATGTAAGAATAAGAGTATAATTGAGTGGTAATCTGTGCCCTTAGCATATTTGAGGATCTAGTTTCAATTCCCAGCACATTTTATTCACCTATGAAAAGTGAGAATAGTGGATTTGAGATAAGAAGGTGAGATTATATAGTGGGACTTATACTGTACTGCCGATATGTACAACTTCTTAAGATGATAATTATGGGTTGGACATTGGTGTTGCAAGCCTTTAATCCAAGCACTTGGGAGGCAGAGGCAGGCGGATCTCTGTGAGTCTTCCTTCCTGTCTATAAAACAAGGTCATGGGTTAACTAAGATGATGCAAAGGTTCTCCTGCTTAAGAGAATGCTAAAACATGCTGGATTAGATGATAGTTATGACATGAGCTTGCTTTATGGTACTCACATATATGAGCATATTCACCCCTACTCAATAAGACCTCTGTAAACTGCCAGACCTGGTTGGACAGACCTGTCTGTAGTCCTAGACAAGGGATCACAAGTTCAAGGTTTATTTGGAATACAGAGAAAATTCAAGGCCAGCTTGGGCAATTTAATGAGACTCTGTCTCAAAATAAAAAGAAACCAGCAAAATGGCTCGAGATAAAGGAACTTGTTGCCAAGTCTGACAACCTGAGTTCAATCCCTCAAACCCACATAGGGAAAGGGAGAACCAATTCCCAGCAATGTACTTTGACCACAAGCAATATGGTGTGTGAGAATTTGAGCACGAGAGCACACACACTCTAAATAACTGCCTTTTAGAAGTTTTAAAGTGATCTCAGGGCTGGAGAGATGGCTCAGAGGTTAAGAGCACCGACTGCTCTTCCAGAGGTCTTGAGTTCAATTCCCAGCAACCACATGGTGGCTCACAACCATCTGTAATGAGATCTGGTGCCTTCTTCTGGTGTGCAGATATATATGGAAGCAGAATGTTGTACACATAATAAATAAATGAAAATCTAAAAAAAAGTGATCTCAGATGAAGGTTGTTGTTTAAAAAATTAACTATCATGCATGATGCTTTAGGTTAAATCCCACATACTCCTAACCAAAACAACAATAACAGAAAACTATGCCAGGGCTGGAGAGCTGGTTCAGTCCGCACACGGTCTACTGTGCAAACATGAGGAACTCAGTTCAATCCCTGGCATGCAGGGCAGTGATGCATCTGTAACCCAGTGTTGAGCGGTGGGACAGGTGGGTCCCCGGAGCTCCCTGGCTGGCCAGACAACCTAACTGGGTCAATGAGCTCTAGGTTCTGTGGGAGACATTCTCAATGAGAAAAATAAAATAGTGAAGAATAATTGAGGGAGAAACCCAATGTGAACCTGTCACCTACACATACACACAAAAACACATGCATACAGGTTGGAGAGCTGGCTCAGTGGTTAAAGACATTTAATGCCCTTGCCAAAGTCCCAGGTTCAGTTCCACCTGTAATTCTAATTCCAGAAGATCTGCCCTCCTCTTCTGAAGGCCTCAGTCACTGAATGCAGGCAAAACACTCGTACACATAAAATAAAACTAAATTTTTTTTCAAAAAGTAAACATGCACACAGCTATACCCACCCACATAAATAAATATTTATGCACCAATATTGTTTTAAAAATTCTTAATACTAAGCACCCGACGCTGCTCTCACTGGGCTGTTGGGCAATTTTTCCGAGACAATGGACATGACAATGCTATATCAACAGTAGCTATTGTTATGGCTCATTCACTCTTCATCTCCAGATTTCTAAAAAAGGTGGCTGCCTCTCCCATCTCCAGCTCTGTCTATTTCTAGGCTGGGCTGTCCTGCCCTTTTCAGTCTTCCCAACCCCATTCCTCTTCTCCAGCACAGCCAGCACAGGGACTGTTTCTCTGTGGATGGGGGAACTGTCATCCATGGCCAGGGTGGGACTAGGCTATCCTGCGATCATCTAAACTGGGCTTTTCAGGGATGCCCATCCCCCCCCCTCCAGCACTTCAGATGGCTGTGCTCCAAGAGGACTCTCCAGGCGATCCCAAGGCAACATGGCTTGAGCTGCTCCCTCCTTCCCTCCTCTAGGCTGCCTGTGCATGCTGAGACTCTGGCTGAGATAGGCAAGGGCAAGCTACATTGCTTCAGAGGAAGCTGTGCAGATAGGAGGTCAGAAGGGAAACAGGGAAACCTTCATTCAGAGAAAAACATCACTGGAACACACATGATGGTTTCACATCTAATCTCAGCGCAAGTCCCACACAGTCCCTTTTGATTCTGATTGCAAATCCTTTCAATCCCTGAAAGAAGCTGGGTGGTTTCCAAGTCTAGACCCACCCCTGGAAGCCCCTCATACTTTGTGCTTTCACTCAGTAACAAATCCTTGATGTTTCTTCCTCTGTTTCCACAGCTGCTGAGGAGAAATCTTGCACTGTGAGACACCGGGAGAGAGGAGGAAAGGTTTGCCTTGCCATCAGAGCATCTTCACAGCCTGACTCACAGGCAGTCACAAGCCCAGCGGGTGATGTGGTGGTAGAGGACTGAGAAGCAACACAACTACGAGGGGGATACGGCTTCTGGGGATATGTCTGAGGGTGAACAGGGGCGGGCTAGGGAATAGATGACAGGTGCGAGTGAAATAATAAAGAAGAAAAGTGGAGAGGATAATGATAACTGGAGGAGTATTTACAGGGAGTGGGTATCTGAGGATGGAAGATACTGTCTGAGGTCTCCAATTATGTTCCCAGGCTCCAGAGACACACCTCATTTCTTCATCTAAAAGCTGTCCTTCAACGTCCCCAAGGACAGGGCGGCCTTTCTCTCCTAGCGACCTTGATGTAGACGTACAGCCTGAAGGGGACTGTGAAATGGCTACACCCCCACTCTCCCTCCTTCTTCTAGGGGAAACACCTGGGCGGTGGCCGAGCCCCTGCTCTCCTCAATCGTTCTGAGTACCTCGGCCCGCCCCCGCCCCGCCCCGCCCCGCTTCAGCCCGCCTTCAGCACCATGGACAGCGAGCGGAGCCGGGGGACCGGACAGACCATGGTCACTCTCCAGCGTCCCCAGCTTCCCTTGTAGTTCAGTGTCCCTAATCTGTTCCGCTGGACTGACCGGGCAAGTGCTTGGTGTGTGGGTAAAGCGTGGTAGAGATCGGAGCTGGGCTTCTCCCTCGGGTCTCCCAGCTTTGGGGTTTGATAAAATTCCCCACACCTCCAGAAAACAGTACTGCAAGAGGCCAGGTTTCCAAACTCCTACAGTGCCTGCGGTCCAGGTGGGTTCCTGCGCTGGGAAGTCCAGAGTCCCTGGAGATTCTCTGATGCCTCCCTAATCGGACTACACCTAGAGGACCTCGGGGTAACCCGCCGAGGAACTCCCGGGCTGGGTTGGAGGAGACGGCTCTGCAGCTCCACCCGGGCGGTAGCGCCGGTGTCCCTCGCCCTCCCCGCGGAGCCCCCCGTACCGGAAGTCGCTGTAGGGGTGGATGATCCAGGCCCCGGCGGACTTCACCCTCTCCTGCTCGATTTCCACCGCTTTGTGGCTGCCGAAGACCCGGAGAGAGAACT